TGCATTCTTCTTTCTTGTCCAGACCTGGCGCCAGCATTACCCACAAGGAGACCACCAGTGCGGTCAGAGATTCAGATGCTAGTAGCCTCAAGCCTCTAGCTTCTACCAGAGATAGGAAGTGGGCAACAGAAATCCACACCTTACATTTTCATACTTGTAGTCTTCAGTCCCAACTGACGCTGACTCAAGTGACAAACAGGTGGAGTTCCCCTTTAAGACTTGTTAAATAAACAACAAAGCATCAAACCATACCAAGCCATTTAACATTACCATCCCTACCACAACAATGGAAATTATGTCATCAACGGAGGACAAGTAACCTGACTACTGGTGACTTTTACCAAACCTCCCCTGAAATCAATAAATAACTGGAGACTCTCTCTAGGACGGACTGCTAGGACCTGCTGGGTGACAGTCACGTGACTGACTAGAGGTAGCCAAGCTAGCACTACTGCTAATGAGCTAATCTGCAAGCCATTATCACAGTCTTATCTCATAGACTGCCGTGGGTTTAACAACATTGTTTTATGAGTTGTTCTTTTGTAAAATGTACAACTCAAATCACAACTATAACTTCGTCATCACAACATCATCTGATATTTTTCAGCCAGACAATGACAGTTATCAAAATCTCATTAACAAGAGGTTATGTTTGCTTGATTATTTACGAAGGAATGAATCACAGTGATAAGGTACTGGTTTAACGAAACTAATTAGATGTGAAGGTTGTTGTATTGTGTGCTCCCTCACTGATTACCTTCTACAGAACAGGGTGACAAACTAGCAAGGCTAACCAAAATAGCACAATATCACTTTGAGTCTCCCATCTTTGATATCCTACCACTGATGTTTTGTTGCCTGCTAAAGTGTTTAATGAACCACGACAACAAACACTTCATGTCAAGTTCTCCAATGAATACATACATTTTTCACAATAACCTCAATAAAGCCAAAACTGTAAAACATTCTCTGCTCACTAAACACACAGTTTCATAGAAAACCAGTGATTAGCTTCAGCAGCTAACCCCGTATTAAGAGGGAAACGTACTAATAAAAGGTGTAGACAAAGTGATGGGGCTCTGCTGTGTTTGGAGGTAATTCTATGTCTAGGTCCTGACGGCAGAAGGAGTAGCACTGTATATTTTGAACTTTTCTTAAAGTAGCAGCCATCAATCTAAAAGCTTTTGCATCAACTTTACTGATTGCTTCTATTGGTTTACTGTCATCAACATTACAGGATTCTTTCACATTTCTGTACAATGTTGTTAAAATTTAGTAATCCATCCATCAATTAACCAATTTACAGAAAAAGATGGACACCTGTTTTGCTGAACTTATGAATAGTTAATTTAATAATCATGCAAAAAGGACAAAATCTTAATGGTTTAAGCTTCACAAATGTGAGGATTTGAAGCTCTTGTCTGGTTTTAATCACTGTAAACTGAATATTTTGGACTGTGTGATGATTTGCAGCTTTCCGGTTTTATATTCCTGCAAGCTGAATAGATACGGACTTTTGGTCAGACAAAAACAAGCAATCTGAGGATGTGGAATTCCTCTTTGGAAAATTGTAATGCATAGTTTTCACCATTTTCTGACATTTTTACAGGCTTAGTGATTTATCAGGAAAAGAAATCTGCAGATTTGTCAAAAACAAAATGATCATTATTTTCAGCCTCATAATAAAGACTGTTTAGTGAGAAACACAATTCAATGTGAGCCACAGTAGAAGACTAAAACACTACAGATTTTATAAAAAAAATTAATAAATAAAGGCCCAAGAAGTCTGCCAAAACCAGGAAGCGCAAACTTGACAAAGGAGCAGCTAAAACATAGCAAACAACAACATCCACACCCAGGATGATAGTAACTTAACATCTTACTCTTCAGTCCCAAAAACTCTTTCCAACAAGGCCTCAATTTAAGCTCCAGTTTGTTTAGTAGATAGAGCATTATGTTATGTCGTCACATCCCATAAAGACATGAGAACCAAGTCTCTGCTGCTACTCTACTCTCCCGCTCAGTTTTCAGTCTTTGCCTTCTCACTCCAACAAGGAACATAATGTCACACCTGTGATCAATAGGGGCCAATACAGGCTCATGAAAAGTGAGAAATAAAAGCAGGTCATAGTTATTTAGTTACAAGAGTTGCTTTTTTTCCTCTGCTTCATGTTTCTTCACAAAGTACTTCTCTATTATACATAATCAGTGTGGGAAATCAATGCCAGTCAAAAGCAGGCTGAGGCTAGTATGATGCTCTCTTTATCAATAAGCCTGTTTGGAAGGACACTGACTACGACTTGGAGTACTTTTTCTAAACATCCAGTTGGTTGGCACGACAAGAGTGGGAGAAAAGTACAAGACTCCAGCCACAAAAATGTTCTTTTGCTCTGAATTCAAACATACTAATATCTGCTACATTTCACTATTGGGTGCTTGTCATGCTGGTGATGTAGAAACTGAAACTTCCTCTAATGTTGCACTTGTTAAACATCACTCCACATAGGTTCACCAGCTAAATGCTACAGATGTAACATGCAAAGCATAAACAAAAAGATAACTGAGTGCTTCAGTATCAGAATGCAAACCCAGTTTGAACAGAAAGACAAGGTTAAAACAGACAAAACGAACTAGTACTGCGCTAGGTAATTAGTTAATAACATAGTAGTACAAGTTGATGACGACTACTGACAAGTAGAATAAAGCTGGCATGACTCAAACTCATTAAACAGCACTGTTGAAGTTACTGCCAACTACAAGCGAGTTTGAATATAACCTGCTATGCTTAAAAATATTGACCACTGACCATCTGCTCAAGCCACACAGCATGCATGTGTATGTAGTGCCAAGACTGTGCCATTCTCCAGCTATAAGTTCCTCGTCCAAATTCAAAGACCATTTCACTGTTTAACTCCTGAAGTCTTGGTAAAAATGTGAAATGCCCACCCATAATCTGAATGCAACACATGTCAGGTACTGTATGTGTATGTGTGTATATCTATATGAGCTCAGTCCACATTTTTAGCTTAAAAACCACCTAAATATCATTGAACTTCTGATGCAACACAATTATCCATTCAGCTGATGGCTGCAATAAAAACACACAACTGACAAGATACAGCAGCAGGTATCTCACGTTCAGCCTGTTACACAAAGCAAAATGTTGATGAAGTGACAAATATGTAATTACCTTAATAAAATCTAAATAACCTAAATCAAAATAGATAAACAGCTGGAAAACATGTGCGCCAGCTTTAAGTGTACTGCTGCATGATAGCATACAGGTGGGGGCAATGTGATGTACACTGTGAGAAAATATAATATGTCAACTATCAGAGATTTCTCCATAATATTTATGCTGAGATATGTGAACATGAATAATCCCTGAGCAGTTTTGTGATTATATTGGATTCTTCTTAAAATTTGCATAAACCTTAATTTATCATGTATTTTCTTTGATTTTGATTTGTTAAGTTTTGCAGCTATTTTGTAGGGATGCACCGAATATTTGGTAACCGAATATATTCAGTGGAATAAGTGAAAAGTTTTGAAGTTTTGTTTTGATGACGCAATCGAACAGCGTGCGGTGACGGACGGAGTAAAATGTCGGCAGTTGCAACTAAAAATAGTTTTGTGCGAGCAAAAGAAATCATTCAGGAGCATGCTGTGCGAGTACAGATTTCAACTAGCAGCAGAAACGAAAGGCGCATCCTGCCGGTTGTGGGTTGAACAGGGGTCACAGGCACAGACAGGAATGTAATCCTGTCAAATATGGCGGCCATACTGCTCCGCAGCGCAAGATAACGGCTTACCGGCAACGGAGAAGCCCGGCTCCAGGTCCAATAAGACGTCGTTGGTGTCATGACTGCCCAAAAGTACCTGAACAGCTGAGCCGTGGCGGCACACAGGTATGTGACGTGTCAGAGGAGAAACGAGCCGTTCACATTTCTCTCTTTGTGGCAGGTAACAGTCCACAAACCTCACCGCACTTAAGGGACTGTTCTTAACTTGTCAGGGGAGGAGGGTGGCTGGTTGATTTTTATTTTATTTATTTATTTTATTTTGACCCCCCCATGTTCATCACTGATTGATGCTGTTTTTGAAGTATTAATAAGTCAATAAGTAATTTATTCCATTGAAATATCATTAATGTATTATAGAAAAGTGATTTATCTTTTTATACATGACAAAAGGCACATTTGCCTCATTTTCGCTGTGGTATCGTGATACTACTCAGAACCGTGATACTTTCACTGGTATCGTACCGTGGGTCCCAATTTTGGTACCGTGACAACACTAATCTGGAGGGGGTTCATCTGCAAAAACTAATGAAAAACTAAACAACGGCATTCGGTATTCGGTACTTGGCCAAGCGTTTAATTTTATTTGGCTTCGGCTTCAGCCACAAATTTTCATTTCGGTGCATCCCTACTATTTTCTTGACTGCTTAATTTTTAAAGTCATTTTTAAGTCATGATTGATGAACATCGACTAAGAGGTAAAGTAACTGAAGATAAAAATAATCGTTAGTTGCAGCCTTACTTTAGTTTGCTGCATTAGCCAAAAAGACAAATTCATATTTAGTTGTTTTTTTCCATAGTTTTTTTTTTGATTTTCCAGAAAATGAACTGTATAATAAAAAAATTTAAAATCCAAAAATAAAACTACACATACCATGATTAAAGAATTTTGTTCATAACGCCCACCTCTTATGGGAAATGCCACAATACTACAAATTACGACATTACTGACGGTAACTGCTGAGCAATTTGCTGTGAATCTACTCTTTGTTTGTAATCTGAAAATGTGAAATAAAGTTTGTAATGCCAACAATTTGTATAAGGCAAAGGAGAATTTTCCTTCTCCATTTGTCATAATATTTTACATTTTTTAATACATTTTAACTAAAAACAAACTTAAGAACATGTTGGAGATTTTCATGGCCAGTGGAAGATGACTCCAATCTGTCAAAAATGTGTTTGTGTATGTCAAAAACTCACCAAATGAGAGTTCTCTTTTGCCTCTTGTACTTGCTGCACCTGTGGTTCAGCTACAACTTTCGTGTCCTGGTCAGAAGTCATGAGCCGTCTGCTTCTTGGCTCCTCAGGGAGAAGTCTCTCTGTCACCAAGTAAGCTACAGGGGGTCGGAGGGGACAAACAAGTTAGATTCAAGAATGGATGTTTATCACAGAACTGTGGCATAATATCAGTTGTGACACGTGTACGATGAAAAGGGCCAGGGGCCAGTGTCCGATAGTTACTTTACAAAGGCCTGTCGAGGACTGGCGAACTTTAAAAATAAAACAGAACTACCTCCATAGAAAACTCAATAGACATGATATGCTTTTTTATACACGTGGCTCATTTTCATTGCCAGTTTGTGTACAGAATAATGTGTATTATAGCGAATTAAATAAAAACAAATTTAGAGCTATAACTCAACATCAGCACATTCTTACCCAACAGATTTGTTTATCATCTTTAAGAGCAAAGCACTGTTAGAGCTCTACAAGTCCAAAGTGCCACACTGACTCTGAGTGATTTATCAAAATCTACCGGCACTTGGCCAGTAAATAATTTAAGACCCTGACAGAGGGGAAAAATACAGTTAGGTTCAAGAGGCTAAATTTATGTTTAATGTCAGATTTGGCTGCAGTTTAGCAACTCTTGCCAAAACACAGAAACAGTAGTTCTAAAATAAGCTATACGTTCAAACCAATGTGAAAACAAAATGTATAAAAATCAACCTCTGCTAAAACATTTGAGCTTTAAATTTGGTTTGACAAGTTTAGTAAAAAATTAAAACATAAAAATAGGACCAACCAAACAAACAACCTCAATGTTTAAACTCAAATCTTCACCTGGACTTAATGTTCCCACATGTTAAAAATATGCGGCTTTACCTGTTGCCTGAGGACACTGTTCACTGATTTATGAGAACATGCTTCACATGATACCAAGTGAAAATAAAAGTAGGGAGATATTGCTAGATAAGTTCTAAAAGCCCCACCCACATTAACTCTGTACAAAATTGTATTTTTCACTCAAACTTTGCATTTAAGTTTTGCACTTTCCGAAGATATTTATTAATATTTTTACTGCTTTATGTTGCAGTGAGACAGATATGACAGTGTAGGAATGGAGGGAAGGACATGCAGCAAAGGGCCCTGGGCTGGAGTCGAACTTGCGCTGCCGCCTTAATAATATGCACTGTACCCTCCCAGTGAGCTAATGTTAATGGTAATGTTTTTTTTCCCACTTGCCTGGCTGGGTAAGTGAGTCAGAATTCAGCTTGCCTGAAGTTAGGTTTTACTTGCCCCAATACAAATATATTGTTTATTTATTAACAGTTATCAGATAACATCAAAGACTTGAGTTCATTGTCATGTTTCATACAAGCATCGGCAAAGCCCTGCAGGAGGGGTTTTTGGAAGCCCTCTATGCTGCCATGCAAGCGAGATGCTCTTGGCTGTTATGGAACACCGGAACATTTTTTGGAAACCTGAAATGTCAACCCTGTTGAATCCAATTTGCTCGCAAACGTGCAGCAAAATGCACAAGACAAAGTTGGCATTTCACCCCCAGGATAACTGAAATCAGGATTCAGTTAGGATAACTGCTCGCTTGCGCTTCAGCTCATTAACTTTGTTTTTACTCCACTGTTATGTTCTGCTGAGTGCCTATGTTTAATTATTTTTTTTACTAGCAAACCATTTGCCCAGATTTGCCAGATTCACTGGCCTGATATGGCATTTCACTTGCCCATGGTAATCCTTATTATTAAGCTGAACAGATTCCCCGTAGTACAAAACAAAAATAACGATTAACCACAGATTAACTAAAGAAGGGCACAAACCTCTTGCTAAGACAAAAAACATAATATGCAACCGTTAGGGCTTTGACAAACAATTAGGGCAACTTTCTGTTCAACCAATCAATTAACCATTTACTCTATGAAATGACAGAATGGCAAATGAGTATCACCAGAACAGCAAAGAGTAGAGCTGAAATGATGAGCTTGGTTTCAGAAAAATAACTGTCACCAATTTTGATAAATAGATTAATCTTGAGTAATTTCTTAGAATAATTATAAAATAAAGTAAAACAAATAATCACTGATAGCAGCTTTTCACAAGTGAAGAATTGCTGTTTTTCTGTGTTAATAAACTGCTGATCAGACAAAACAAACATCTAAAAATGTCAACTGAGATCTGGGAGCCTGTGAACGGATTTTTATTTTTTATTTTTTGCATTTCTGACAATCTATACACCAAATGATTAAAACAATGTGTGGAGTATCAAATAACAAAATATATGCTAATTGTAGCTCCAGTGGGGAAGCCTGCAACAAGTTGCTTTGCAGATTTAAGAAAAGCTATTTTTCTGGATATCAAAATTTGATTCAATTCAATTAACTTTCTGTCAATCAGCACTTTAACTGCTTCAGCACAACTGACCATCAACTCCACACCTTGGTTAATGTAGCGTACTCTCTATAGTAAACATTTTCTGCACTCAAGTTTTCAGCATCGTTCTTGCATCTTTACGGCTGCTATTTTCAGTACTAGTAGTCTGAGTGGTTATCACCTCTACTACATCTGACCTCAACATTACACATTCAGAGAAAAAAGCTAGTGGGAGGACCCCTATGTGTCCAAACACCACTGGAAACCCCTTCTTTTCTGTCCCGTTGGAGCCGTTTGTTAAGCAGTGATAATCCGCCCCAACAATCGGGTGCCTGTCTCTGACACGGGCCCTTGCTGTGTTTGCATACAAAGCAGAAAAAGAATGGCATTGCTGTAAAGCTGGTGACCTTTGATCCACATACTGATTCCCATACACGGCATGTGTGTGTATGTGTGTTTGTGTCATGCCACTGTGATGAATGGGGCCTAACACGTCTCTCCATCAATACCAGTCAGCTATCAAAGCAGCTATTGCGTGATAGACTTTTCTGAACAGTAGCCTTAAAACCTGTTTGCCAGCTGAAACATACATTTAACTTCTGTGACCTCTATGTGTGTTTTCTTCAGCCACACCGTGGCACATCAATAACACGTATATCAGGCTGAAGTGATGCGTTAAATTAATATATTTCTGTGGTCTTGCATCTTTTACATGAAGGTTTAGACCAAGATTTCTGTGAGTCATTTGAAAGTCTACTTGGCAAAGAGGCCTCTTGAAAAGGAGAAAGAAAAGAAAGAGCAGCTGATCTACACTTGGTCCCACACATCCTTCTCTGATGCAAATCCTGACAGTTTGTTGTGATTGGGAAACTACATACTCCTACTGTCATGTGTACGCTGTGAAAACTTAAAGCTAGATTTCCATTTCTTAAATTCATGAGGTATTATATCCTCTTAAATGAGTCACGGAAACTTACCAGAAATCTCAAAATGCACAATATTCATCTTAAAACAAGCTGGTTTGTCCCTTAACCCTGAAACACCAAACAGTTTAGAGATTTAACCTAACCAACAATGTATTTAATACCTTCTACGTTGTAATTTTAAACTGTTTAGGCCAAGATCTTTCACAAACACATAATCCACCTTGCAGCACAATGCAAAAAATGAGTGACCAAGTCTTGGTATTTATGAAATATGGGGCAGAGGGTAATCACAAGACTCCTGACAACGTTTACAATGCAGTTTGACCTGATGCATCCCATAAAAAGACTGACCCCGGCCACAGCACATGTCATTTCCTCTACAGATGCAGTGAGTCAATCATAACGTCTAGACAAGGCCTGAACCAAAACACACGCTTTGCTGATCCTCCTCCTCCCTCCTCTGCCTTGTTTCCATCCTACATAATCACAAGAGGTGATTTACAACCAAAATGCTACTCTGTTGGTCCAGAATAAGCCTTGTGGTTAAAAAAAATGCAACAGGGGGCCAAAGAGGTTTATTTATAGTCGATGGGTTACCACTGGTGGAGGATGGTCACCAGGCATCTAACATGTCCCTGTGGGGGTGTTGAACCAGTGTTTATCTCCATCCAGACGAGGCTGCCACTGGCGTCAGATGCGTTTGTTTGCATCAACTTTACTAGTCGAGCGCTGCAACTTCTACTAAAGACGCAATGCAGGCGTATTTAGTAGCTGACACAGCCGAGAAAGACTGCAGCTCACATGCCATGCCCATGCCAAGGGGCCATGCACAGCGACACTCCTTCTTCACTAGGCAGTCTGCAGGCTTCGTGGGAGCGAAGTGCAGGCTGAATTTGGGTAATAAATGTACAGTGGGAGGTGTTTCCGTTGTAAACACGTTATAACGTTATGTTTTAAAGTTGAGTCTGGCCAGAAAGTAGCAGCCATGTCTAGTTAGCTGGCTTGCAGTAGCATCCAATGAAAGATGGCGACCTCCGGCGTGATTTCGCGGATTCCCCAACCCCCCCATCGTTTTGAAACAGGCTAATATTTAGTTAGCAAGCAAGCTAACTTAACCTGACTTTAGAGAGAAGCGATAAGACAGGGTCTATCCGTGTGTTCGTTGCTCTACTGTTAATCCACTTTGACATCAGAATAAGTTTGAAAACAGTTTCCTACTCACCTGTCAACTCTCACTGCACGGCAATGCAAATACTGTGGTGGTAGTGGCAGCTGATGGTGGTGCTGGACTGAGGCCTTGAGTTGGCTTCCAGGCTAAATACGCAGGGTATTAGCTAGCAGGCTATATCGAGCACGCTAGCTAGGAGCAACCGGCTTACCGCTCTAAACCTCACCGCAAATAGTCTTCAGATTTCAGGGGGAATGGCCACGACCAGTTGCAGTGCAATGACAAAACGACGCCCCCCAAAACTGTCTGCAAAAAATGGGCTCCTCCGACCAGCACTGCAAGCTAGTTAGCGAGTAAGCTAGCCAAGAGTTAGCTAGGTGGCTAGCTAGCTAGCTTGCCTGTCAACTTTGTGCTCGATAAATCTGGCGCCTGGAAATTACACGCGAAGCAAATTCCTCACGGTCAACAGCAGGCTCTACGGGAGGGGGAGTCAAAAACCAGCCAAGAAACCCTGAAACCGAGGAATAAACGTTACTCGTCTCAACGCTTCCGATCGATCAAACACTCGGTACAGCTAAAGATGAGAGAGGAGGGGAGGGGGGTCGGAATGGAGAAGTCGCTGTTTCCTTTCCCTTTCGTGTGCAGCACAAAGATCGTCTATAATGTTGTTGATGGAGCACTCCAAAAAAGGCTAGTCATCCGGTCTCAAACTGTGCAGCAAAAAGTCCAATATTTCTTTATTGGAGCAGAAGTATGAAGTAGCATGAAATAGAAATACTCAAATCAAGTACAATATGTGTTTAGATATCATTTTCACCAAAAATACCAAGGGAAAAAACAGTATCAAAGACAGAGAAAATAAAAGATAAAGTAAGATGAGCCTTTTTTTTTTATTTCAAGAGAGGAAATTCTGGTTTATCAGTAGCACAAGCACATAAATAAGTACAGATACAGAGAAAAGTTAAGAAATAAAATTTAAATTGTTAGAGGTGTGTAAAATAAAAATAAGAATAGAATAACAGAAAGAACAACAGAGCAATTAGACTCAAAATTACAATGCAAGCAGTATACAAACAGTACTTGCAACCAGAGTTAGATAAAGAGCTGCAACTATTAAGCGCTTTAATCGATTAATTGTCAACTGTTAAATCAACTGCCAACTAATTTGATAATTAATCAATTGGCGTGAGTAGTTTTTTAATAAAAAGAAAAACAATAACAAAGCATTACATTTGAGGACAAAATCTTGGGCTTTGGGAAATACTGATCAACATTATTCACCACTTTCTGACACTTCATAGACGAAACAATGAATTGATTGATTGAGACCATGATAGAAAGATTAATCAGCAAAGGAAACAGTCATTAGTTGCAGCCCTAATAGATAGATGGATGTCCTTAATTGATCCCAAAGTTGGACATTCTTGCATTACAGCAGCAGGTTATTCAGGCATTGCACAGGAGCAGTAAATAAATACATATCAACACTAAAAGAGAGAAATATATATCAACTGAAAAATAAACACAACAAATAATATAAATTAAAATGACCTAATACAGAATACAAGAATGTACATTGTATTGTTGTACTTGAACTATTTGTGCAATACCTTTTCAGGCAAAGTTACATAGTAAAGTTATATGATACCAACAATTATAACAGTGTACATGAGAATACTATGGTATATTATGGAATACTATGGCATCATGAATTTCCCCTCGGGGATTAATAAAGTATATCAAATTAAAAATTAATTAATTAAATTAAAATGTGGGATACAAAGTATACTATAAGGTGGAAAAATATTGATTTAGTATAACATAATAAGAAATAAGATAAGATGGTCCCTTTTCCCAATACAAAACTAAAGAATAGACAAATTAACCTAGGAGACAACATGTTGTGCAGCAGTAGGAAAAATATAAACACAAGTGGCCTTGTGGAAATATAAAACCAGGTAGAGTAAATAAATGTAAACAATGTAGAGAGCATTAAACAAAATTAAAAGTTGCCTTTTTTATGCAGGAAGGTGCAAGAAGTCCAAGTAAAGTAAGGTATGGTATGAATGTGCAGTATAGTAGGCTACAGCAAGTCTCTGATCTCACAGTCTCACAGTCTCTGTGGATAAGTCCATTGTCTGACTGAGCCTAGTAGAACAGATGTAAGCTTTACAAGTGGGCGGTAAAGATGGTCTTAGCAGAGCGAGACCTCCTCGTGTTTTTCCTCTCTCTGGTGCAGCACTGAGCTCGGAGGCGTCTATCGTTTTCCCCAAAATTGTCTAGCTGCAGGCTCGCGGAATTCCCACTTCACAACATGACACACCCACTTCACTAAACGGCACACCCACATCACAACAAGACCACTCCCTCCCATGTTTCTGATATGACACAGCTTTTGTTTCCTTGTTTTGTATATTTGCTTGTTATTTATTACTTATTAATTCTTTGACATTTCAGTTACATAACAAAAACTTGTAACTCCACTATCCTCTAACTTTTTAAAAGAATATATAGCTGTTTATAAGGGAAGCCTTTAATTTAGGCATCACTATATTATCCCGAGTGTCCAGTGCACTTTTCTTTAATTGTGTGTTTAATTTGGTTGTTTATTTAATCATTATTATTTCACAATTGCACTTACTTTAAAATCTAATGCTAACCACATGCTTTTGAATGAAATTAAAATAGATATATTAATAAATTGTTGCCTTAATTGTTTGCTTATTTATTGTGGATATTTCACTCAATCTATGAAGGGTTACGTGAGTAATTCAAATTCAACAAAATTATTATTATTGAATTATTATTTATCAGTTCTCATATCAGTTGTCATAATTATCTCTATCATTATCATTATCTACTTATCATTATGATAATAGAAATGATCTGTTCAGGAGCAGAGCAGATCGGCTGTTTAGGAGAGGTTTTTTTTTCACATACAAGGGCTTTGCCTTGGAGTTATGATGCATAACAATCAGCATAGTGAGAAAAAATAAAAATAAAAGCAAATACTGCAGGAGTCAAGAAACATAAATATGGAACAGATGGAAACAAACAATAAAAATATGAAAAAAGCACTATAAAATATATGTACAATATCTATTTTTAAATGAAAAAGCTTTACAGTTTTGTGCAGCTATGTGCAAAAGTTTATAAAAAATAAAATGTATAAATTCACAAAATTTAATTCATAAACAAGTGTAGCTTACTTTAGTTTCTTTTTGAAAATATGAGGGGAAATGAATAGAAATTGATACAGAAAATAGATTTTTTTTTTTTTGCCCCTGCTCTGTCTGTGTTTGGACGCAGGGGGGCGATGTGCAGTAAAACTCGCCAAAGTGTCATTAAGCGTCTCTTCCGGTTTAAACGGAAAGAGGTGCTCTCTTTCCCCCTGTGCCGTCAGCGGACTAAACGTGTCCGACAAAATGGCACTTTATAATTTTAAGAAGATTATGGTGGTTCCCACCGCAAAGGTAAGTTTTGTTTCTCGTCTCTAGTGTTTTAAACATGTGTTGTTTTGCCTGCTTTGTCATTGAGCTTTGAGAGACAGTGGAAGTAATAAAAACATGGTGGGATTCTGCAGGGAAGGAAAACACGTGCTGTGCTGGTGTAAAGAGACAGCAGCAGGTTTCCAACCCAGTGTGTCCAACTGTCTTATATAGTTACAGTATCAGAAGAGGAAAGGAGACAAAAGAGATGAAACAGCTAGCTGTTGAAACTGACATGTTTTATGTGATGAATATACCTTTTCCAGTTATTGACACAGTTGACATAAGACAAGATATGTTCTGCACCAAACTCCGTTAGAAAATCTGGAAGTTAAAGACTCCTTCCCCTCCCCGTGAGCAAGGAGACGCCATCCATCAAACAGCTCACATTACATCAAGATAAACTTGTGCTTGTCACCTGTTAACGTACTCCAACAGTGTATGGCCATTTAAATACCGTGTCGCTGAGAGCTGTAGGATCAATCACAAAAGTTAGGCTCGTTTGAGAAATAAAGCTGTTTTTTGTATTTTTCGCATGTCGAACTGACAAGAGGACATGGATTATTTGCGCACATAATACAAAACATTATAATAAGTAGTCTACTCTTGCCGACAAGCTATTGTACATTTAACTGATAGATTTGTTAATGAAGTTTGGCAGGAGTCAAAAGGAAAACCGTTTACATTAGAGTTTGCTTGGTGGAAATGTAGGGAACTGCATGTTTTTGTGTATAAATATTAACTAGATGTTTTATTGCATGTTACAGTATTTATAGATATGGTATGCAAGTACTGGGACAGTAAATTTTGCAGTGACCAAAGGCTCATGTAATAATTCCTAAAATAAAAGAAGGGAAGACTGTCAAGGCACAAGGCATAACTGATGAGGCTTATTTTAAGTTACAAGTTGTTTTTAAGGAAAAATGTTTTGCTTTCCATAAAATAAAATGGTAAATAACGGCTTATTTTTCAGGTTTGCAATCAAGTGAGTGCTGTTGAGAAACACAGTCACTTCCCTTCACTAAAACCTTGTTGCCCTCTGTGCAGGATTTCATCGACATCACTTTATCCAAAACACAAAGGAAGACACCCACAGTGGTACACAAACATTACCAGATCCACCGTATCCGACATTTTTACATGCGAAAGGTGAAGTTCACCCAGCAGAACTACCATGACCGCCTCACGCAGATCCTCACCGACTTCCCCAAGCTCGACGTAAGTTAAGATGCTCTGAAAAGTCTTTTGTGTATTTTAAATAACCATTTTTCCTTTTGCCTGACACCAACAACAGTTAGTTTTTTTTACCTCATATTTATGATCAGTTTGTGAAATTTGATAATGTGTTGTTTTTCCTTCAGGACATCCATCCATTCTACGCTGATCTGATGAATGTGTTGTATGATAAAGACCATTACAAGTTGGCCTTGGGACAGATAAACATCGCCAAGAATTTGATTGATAAGTATGTTTTTTTCTTAGTGTCTTGCATATTGTTGCTCAGTGCTGTGGTTGACTGGAACATTAATGTGGTGTGCCTTTGGTTTGTTAAAGTGTCAGTGCATGCTAACAGTTCTTCTTCCAGTAACCCTAAAAGCAATGGAGATGACTGAGATTCAGTGGTGGCAGCTGGACCCCAAATCAAATCAAATCAATATAATGACGACAACTGTAACTGCCATACATTAAATTGAATTTAAGGGTTTTAGTTTTTCCTGCTCAGTCTGGATAAAGGCTGGTGCTTCCAATTGAAAAGTAAAGTCAGCAAATGCTTATTGCAGGGTCAGTTAGTACAGACAAATATACATGGAACAAGATCCAACACTTAATTATAATAATTATAAATCAGAAGGAAACAACACATCAATTTAACATAACCTAGAAATGGATAAAAGATAGGTTCACAACACACCATATGTCTTTTTTTTTAGTGTTGCTAAAGACTATGTGCGTCTGATGAAGTATGGAGATTCTCTGTACCGGTGTAAACAGCTGAAGAGAGCCGCTCTGGGTCGTATGTGCACCATCCTGAAACGACAGAAGTCAAGTCTGGAATATCTGGAACAAGGTAACAGAGGAGTCTTGTGGCTGTAATGCATCACAGAGGTCTCACATAAAA